ATCGAAAGATTATTGCGGTACATCTCAATCAGCGTGGCTTTGGAGACTTGGTCTCGACAATGAACTGACCGATTCTTGAACCTCTTCACGAAGTTGTTGACTGACTCCGACTTTCTTTGCTTTTCAGCAAGGAGGGTGGTCATCGACACCTCTGTATCATCATCGAAGAAGCGTGCCAGGAAGAGTCTTTCCGCATCGGCCCATGATGTAATAGAGCTCAGTTCCAACTTGCGGAACCATTCAAACGCTACTCTTTTGAGGGTGCCGATGAACAATCGAGTGAGGATAGCATCGTTCCCCTTGAGGAATCCGGTCTGAGACATGAAGTAGTAGATGTACTGTGAGGGGGAGCCATTTCCATCAAACTGTACCAAACTAATGGACTTGAACTTTGCTAGGTAGGGGAGTGTGTCCCACTCGATAGGGTATGGCCTGACCACCACCAGCTTGTTCATGTTTTGCTGGAGCTTCAAGACATTGAGTTGGCTTTGGAACTCGTCGAGCCTCTTGTCTCGGGCAGTACCGCCAGTACGCGATGTCCCTATCGATGACTTGGAAGAGTGATCCGAAGGCGGATCAACATTATCTTCCAGTTCAGTCGTCTGATTAGGAGTGGGTCCCCATTCCTTGTTTCCTGCCGGCTTCCGTGGGGTACACATAGCCCTTTTCTTCAAACATATCCTTTATGGACTCGATGGCGGCTTGATGTTCTTCAAACTTTTTGGCAATTGTTTGATCCTCCGCGGTTTCTGCCATGTGCAACCTTGCCAGCTCGTCTTGAATCGAGTGTGAGGTTTGGGATGTGGCTGTTGTTGAGCAAACCTCATCTTCGCCGCCCGAAGGAGACGCTAAGAGTGCATAATCGAGCGGGAGGGTCGTTCCCGTACGAGTACGGGTGCGCAAGAATATACTTTCGCGCTTGCATTGAACAAGCGGATGATTAGGTCCCAGGAAAGAATCCGAGTCTGGGGAACTCATGAGCACAGTTTTACCCTTCCTCGTCATGTTGACCGTAGCAGATGGGAGCTCCAAATCGTTGACGGTGCGCCTCCTTTGGCGGCTATGCTTTCGACAAGAAGATCTCGGCTTGGGAGCCTGTTGAGCAATCCTTTCAAACACCAAAGGTCTCATTGTTCTCACACACCGGCAGTCGGTGAGTACCGTTTGGATAAGTCTTTCGCAGTGACATTGAGGATTCGCCTCACGGATGGTGCGTTTGCGGGCTAGATGATCCCGAAGATCACCCGCAAGTCGCTGGTGGCTACCCCCAAGATCAAAGGGGCCATGCATGTGATTGCATGAAAGAGTTTTAAATGAACTCTCTTGAGTACACTGGGTGGAACGGTTAAGTGTCGAAGTCAGGCGAGTTCGCCTTGACGGGTGAGCTCTTGCGTTCGGGCGAGCTCCCGTCGCTTGACGAGCTTCGACCGTTCGTGTATTCATGTGGGCTTGATGGGGCTCGCTTGCTGCCTCCCCGAGGCTGGTTCGCCTGCAAAGTCTGTTCGTTAGGCGAACCTGGCGGGGTTCACCTTTCTTCTCTGGATCACCTTCACCTGATTCGGGCAGTTTACTTGAATCAGGAGTATGACCCGAGAAACAAAGCCCACCTAACTTGGTGGGTTCGCCCGTCCTTGTTGGTTCACATGGGTGGTCGGGCTTGCCAGAAGTACCAGGCTCGTCGAAACGAGAAGTGTTGCGATCAGAGTGAAGCTCGCCCGAGCGTGAGGGCTCGTCTGATTTGGTGAACCCATCAGTATTTGGAGGGCCGCACCTCCGCCTGGCATTCTTCAGGCCTGAGTAGTAATTCAGACCGTCATAAGAGGTGAGGGCTTGGGCCTCTTGTCGGGCGAGAGGCTGTTGTCATCGCTGGCAGGCCCTCCTGGAGAGAGGGGTGTCTGCGCGAACTATGACGGCGTGGTCCGCGCCAATGCGAACAACTGTCTCTTCTGGAACGGGGGTCTGCGAAGGTCGTGAGTCCTTAGGCGTGGATGCCTCAGCCGCTTGGGGTCGGGCCTTACGCACAACTCTGTGGTGTTTGCGGGATGTATTTCCATTAGAGGAGGAGGAAGACAATTACTCTTCATACTTGGCTTGGTCAAACTCGATTACGAGGGACTCCACGGTTGTCCCGACAGCAACCCTGTCGAACTACGCTACCACCATCTCGGTTGAAGAAACGGTATCTCCCACTGTGGTCGCCATCTTCTGTAGGTGTAAAAATTAATTTCCCAAAATGGAGATTTCGTTTGTATTGATAAGAATAGCTTATTACAAACTAATAAATTAAAATTACAACAAAAGCAGAGGGAATGCCCTCCTTGTTTAACGTGGGGTCTTTGGTAGTGATAGGACGTCTCACTCAATTCTCGCACCGAGTTTGCTTTCCTTGGACGATCCAATCGAGGTTGCAGGTGAGCTTCAGTACACAGTAGAAGCTCGTATTGATCGAGTTCGAATCTCCGAACTTAATGGCGATCGAGGCCGAAAGCTAGAAGGAGATGCTACAGTGCAATAGTAGTGCAAAGAGCGGGTTGCTACCTCAGTTGAAAAGTCAACTTATCAACCGAAAAAGCCCCCCCTTTTATGTAGCCAGAAGAGGCTTTTAAATAGAGAGGAGACGACATGATCACCCCCCTGAATCATGGGATGTGACCATGTCCTGTTGAGAGATATCATACCTCTCATTTGTACTGTGAGCGGCTGTTTAACGGTCCTGGAGTACTGTACTCCTCCCCTTCACGTCGTGGGAAATGGGAAGGCCCATCCCTATGCATGATGTTGTAGCCGCCTAGGACTCGGGCGAGTCTGGCGAATTTGTTAATAGCCTGGCCGATGGCTTGAACGTGCAGGCGAACTCAGTCACTTGGACAAACTTGACTCGTGCAGGCGAGTCAAGTATGCAGGCGAGTTTGGCGACTACGCGGATTTGACTGATCACTTGTACTGTGAGCGGCTGTTTGATGGGCTTGGAGTACTGTACTCCTTCCCTTCATGTTGCGGGAAATGAGAAGGCCCATCCCTGTACATGATGTTGCAGCCGCTAGGTACTTCTGACGAGTTTGCCGAGTTTGTTGATCGCATGGCCATGCAGCAAAGCTCAATTCTTGAGTAGACTTGACTTGTGCAAGCGAGTCAAGTTTGCAGACGAATTTTTGGTCGCCTGGTGGATTGTCTGGTTGTGTAGGCGAATTCAGCGATCGCGTGGTCTTGACTCGTGCTGGAGAATTAAGCATGTAGGCGTAATCGAGCTCTTGATGGCGGGTTTTTAGGTACCCCTGTAGTCAAAGCAATTTTTATAGCCTACAACCCTAAAACATTAAAATAATCAAAAACAGAAAACTAGCAGTTACTGTGCAATAGCTAGTTCATAAGTCGACTTATAAGTCGACTTTTTCCAGTTGTAAATCAACTCAGCAGACAAAAACAACAAACATGAAAACAGAACGTAAGTCGACTTAACAGAGATTACAAGTCGACTTATAGCAAGTCAACTTACAAGATACATGAGTCGACTTAACAGAAAGATTTTGCATTTTCCATAACATATCATAAGTCGACTTATCAGTGCTTATAAATCAACTCATGAACGTGCACGGGCACTGTTCATGTATGAAATCTAATTTTTAAAGTGCCTTAAAAAATAACAAATAAATTCCAAAAATTGTAAAACTTTGAGAAATGATTATAAACATGAAATTAAACATGTTACAAAAAGAATTTTTCAAATTGCATCTCCTAATTGTGAAAACTCTTTATTTTGCAAAATAGTCCAAAAACATGAAAACTTAACAACACATGTTTTTGACAAACAAACTTGCATATTCATTTTGAATGGATTAAATGACATAAGAAAATATATAAAATGGTATAATTTAGTCTTTAATCCATAAACACATATTTTTGCAAATAAACATGATTTCATTGATTTTGAACTTGTTGATTAATGAAATCATCTTAAGCACATATAAACATGAAAATATATTTATATACATGTATTGAGTTTTCATGTATATGTGGCTAAATTCATTGTTTATCAAAACCAAAAATGATAAATATGAAACATGTATGTATGTATATAAATAAGTAAATTTGTTTCATATTCAAACTTAAAAACTATAAAACCAAAACGTGTATGTGTGTATAAGATTGAGCTCTAAGTATTAATACACAAGTATAAACCCTAAACTATAAAAACTACACCCAAGCAATATTGATCTTCACTTAAGCTCGTCTTGGTTGCGGATGAAGTTTGATCTTGAATTTGATTTTGAATTGGAAATGGCTTCATTCTGATATTCTGCCAACCTCCATTGAATATCATCGTTAAGGCGCAATCCATCCAACCTCCAACAAAGATATTTGTATAGATTACCTAACAAAACAAATGCAAACACTCGACGCACAATGTTAGGAATTGTTTATAATCATCAAAATAAGATTAAAGAATAGGCTCATAACCATGAGGCTAACAGGTATTTGCTAGAGCAAAAGATGTTAGAAATGTTCACTCTTTAATTAAGTTTTACGTATGCTCATTTGAGCGACTGTACAAATTGAGATTAAACTTGTGAAAGAGGAATTCTGTTGTCACATTTGGAACATCAAATGAGTTCCACCAAGGTGCATTTTAGTTCCACACAAATAATATAAAATAAATTAAACCAAACTAAAATTAAAATTAAAATTAAAAATTCAATCATCTATATATGAAATAATATCAAATAGACAGTTCCACCTGTATGAATTATATATTGTCCGTGAATTTAGATAGTCAAATATTTCGAATAGTTTAGCATGCTCAGATCCACACTTATGTTTTCAATGGACATTTTCTGGATGTCCATACCTATCAAAAAAAAAAAAGGATACGTAAATGGATTTTTTTTTTAACTGGCTTACCCGTATGATTACCTGTATTATCTCATGTCCCTGATTAGTGCTGGGCGCACACAATGGGTTATGAGGACGTAGACGTCTGATGTTTGCCTTCAACAAACACATTCACATAACCATACTCTGCCTCATAATTTCCACCTCCAAGTAATCAGAATACGCATCTCATGCTTTTATGCAAGTCTTATGGACAGATTTTTTTTATCAGCTGAACAAGATTTGTTTTGAGGACTTTGCACTAATCTTGATGTCATGAAATGAAGAAAAACTGCTCATTTTTACAAGCCTGCAAACTTATACGGACAGAGAGCAGGGACTACTGATTCTATGTAAACTATTAAGACAGCAGTTACAACAAGGACTACACGAAATCTACATGAGATCATAACCTGCCAGAGCGCATCGTTGCACACCCAAAATGCTTTAGCATTTAACGAATGCAAAACGCAACAAAATTGTGAAAAACTAAGTTAAAGCGAGCTACTTGAAGGGTTTAGCTCGAAGGACGTTTTCTTGGCTTCCTAGAAGAAGCAGGGTTCATTTTGGAGATGTCTGAACTTTGCTTCTTGCTTGATCGACCGCGCTTGAGCTGGCCAGACTTCCCAACTGGTCCGTTGTTTAGATAAGTTGGCTGATGGGATTTATTAGCTTGGATCTCTTCTTCTTTGGATGTGAAGAATGGAAATTCCTATACACAAAAAAAAAAAAAAACTAGCAATTAGAAAAGTACTCCAAGATATTTTCTATTATGGCATGATGAACTCTTATCTGTTCATGTGTATGGTAAACTAAACATGAAAACAAGGACATGCTTGTTAACTTAAACCAATATATACGAACTACCCATCTCAATAAGAAGGGGGGTTTCTTATGAAGCAAAACAAAGAAGTGGTTTGTGTGTACTCAAGGTAGAAAAACTATGATCAGCCTTTTTTCCCAACAAGAAAAATATGCCAAATTCAGTTCATTAACAAATAGGAACTACTTGCGTCTATCTGATATGATGAATTATGGAATGAACTACAGTAAGTATTCTATGCAAGGTAACTTGTGTAAAATCCAGGCCATACTAAATAATTGTATTCAATTTCCAAGAATGAGCACGAGTTTGCATGTAGAACTTTAGCCTCTTTTTATCTATTAGTCCCCATGCACAGTCTATCTAATCTTGTATAAAAGTTTTCATACATTAATGAGCACGCCAAATTCACATTGTATTAGAGTTTCCATTTATATAATTATTATTAAATTGGGTACGTATAATATTACAATTGTTAAAGATAATTATCACCTAGATTGATTGAAGCAATGTGTATAAAGGAATTGCCTAACATAATCCTTGAATATGTGCCTAATCTGGATATAAATCCTGGCTCTGCCCCTGATCTAATGTTCTCATATTGACACAAATAACTCCATCTGTTATACTTGCCCTCACAATTGAAAGTCAAAAAATTAACCCTCTATACTGCTAGTAAAGCTTTCCATTTATAGAATCCAATACGTATATCACAATAACTGCTTAATCTACTTGAATTAGTACAGCGGGCCATTAACATAAGCTTAACTTAATAGAACCTTTAACTTTACTTTTTAAAGAAATAACACACGGCTCCATGCTAACAAAAGCAATCTACTGGAGGAGAATTTTTCTCAGAAACGACAACTGCCAAGTGACAAATCTATTTAAAATTTCCTTCTGTAAATGGCAGGCTCCTGTTACACTGCTCAAAATCATGAATCACCTTTGCAAGATGACTTCCATTTGGCTTAGTTAGTATCCTAGATAGTTATGAAGTCCAGCGAATTCAGTCTTAAGGTGCATAAGCGTGGTAAGTTTATATTAGAAGCCATCTTTGTGGTTTGGTAAGTCAAAGGTAAAAAAGCAAAACAAAGAGATAACATCGGAAAGATTACTTCGTCAGCAGCTGCTTAAAACCTTTGGGAAAAAACATGCAGGTCTTGCAAATCAAGTCATCCTTCAAGAGCTCATCCTCCACAATATGTTAGTCAGAGGAACCATGTAATTGTAAAGGTGATTAAGGGCATAATCTTCTCCTTCATACACAGGGTCTTATTTTATCATTCCTACCTAGTTGTTTCATCTTTCACTTTGAGATGAATAGGCATGACTTAAAGTTTCCTACTTTTGGCAGGTGCACCTTACGTCTCTCTAAGAATATTGTTCACGCTGCTAATAGCTGGTAACCATGCATACATAAGCAGCAGGAGGCCTGATAAGAAATGTAATGATTCTGTGGGACCTGACTAAGATTAACTGAGAAAGGACCTGACAAACTGATCTGTATGTTTAAAGGTGCCAAAGACTAAACTAATTGTGCCTTAAGGGAAATGAAAGACTACTTTGTAGAAGAAGAGAAGATTTATGATGCTCAGATATCATAATTAGCCTTCTGCATTCTTACTATAAACCTATACGTAGGATAAAGTTTGGCACTTTGGTACCATGAAATAAAGGAAATGTTATACAGTGTGTGACGCCAACTTCTCACCTTCGACCTGAGGTATTGCCTAACATGTTGCTCGATGTAGCATTCGTACCTGAAGAATACCTACTTTCATTTCATTGTTTGTCTCTCTAATATTCCTTTTTTTAACTCTCATCTTCTATCAAATCCAAATCTTTGGGATATGGCTTCTTTGCCTCTTACATTATGAGAAGAGGAGCTTCGAATATTTCATTTTATTAAATGACATGAGTATATTTTTGTTAATGCCTTCAGATCTATGTCACACTATTTTCTATTAGGTAGATGACAAGATTTTACATGTAATAAGTGTATCCGTGTTTATATAATATTTGATATACATGTCCCAAGATGTTGGTCGTGTCCGATACGTGGCATATATCCCCCAAAAACCATCAACTGCACATTTTCCATGTAAAACCTTGTATAGATCCATATAGTCAGTTTGATTTCCCATAAATCATTTTTGGGTTCCCCTGATACTCAGCTCTCATGATAACATTTATCATGGTTTGAGTTTATCCGACATAATTGTGTCCTCAACAAGTAGTATCAGTTGATTTTTGGGGGAACACTAAGTACTAATTGCATATGGGGTTAAAAATAAAAGTGAAGGGAAGATGAGACTTGTGTCAACGACTTAACAAATTACAATCCATGAACAGGGAAACAGATGTGGGATACAGGTATGTGCAATACGTACACCGATGTTATGGTAAATTTTAGGATAAAGGCACGATATGGATACGACAAAAGTTATATCATAAAACTAGGCTAAATGGCACATACATACGACAAAGTTTTCCTATTTTGGCACTTATATACCATGAGTAGTTTTTTGTGGCAAATAAATACCATATGTTGTTTAAGATTGGCATATTAGTACCTTCAATGATGCAAACATGAAATTTTTTACTTGAACATTACATATAACACTAAGATGTTAATTTCATAGCTTTCCAACCATTAATATTTGTTAAATTTATCATTTAACATATCTCAACTCTATTTTTAAGTAGAATTAATATAAGTTTAAAAAAAATTGGTACATTTAGTAGCAAATTTAACAAATATTAACTGCTAAAAAGATCTAAAATTAGCATGTAAGTATCATAGAGAACAAGGTTTTAAATATCGGATATCGGGGAAATATCGGATGGTCAAAATTCATATCGGATTGCGGATATCGGGGAAATATCGGGGATATGTGGTAAATATCGGAATGCCATAATGAATGTTTGCATACATAGTATAATGCATTAAAATATAATCTCAACATATGTAATGAAATTTAAGCATACAAAATATGAATAATATATGTTTAGGATCACTAATCAACCTTCTAAAACAAACAAAAGTGCAAAACAACGTTGCAACATTATATGTTTAGGATCACTAATCAACCTTCTAAAACAAACAAAAGTGCAAAACAACGTTGCAACATTCGATCAGCTTTTTTTAGGGCAAAATGTCATTTGATATAATAGAAAAATCTTGATATCTCGTCCAAAAATTCCAAATACGGTATATTATTTTGCAACAAGCTATATAAAAAGATATATTGGTCCACATATCGGCTAATATATCGGCCATATCGGGGATTTATCACTCAAAATAGCCAAAAAGCGGAAAAGGATATTTAAAGATCATATCGGTTGCGGCAAGCCCTGTAAAAGGATATATCGGGGGATATATCGGGCCATGTCGGGGATATTTAAAACAATGATAGAGAAACATTCGATCAAGTGTACTAACATGCCAATTTTAAACAACTCATGGTATTTATTTGCCAAAAAAAAACTCATGAAAATTACCATGAGTTGTGTTTTTATATTTACCATGAGTTGTTTAAAATTACCACTAGAGATGAGAAACAATGTGCATATAGATTAGGAAAATTCCAAAAAATAGTACATTAATTTGTTGTGGGTGCAGTACAAAAAATATGCATGTGCACATGAATAAATTATGTAAATAACTATACTTTATTAAAAAATAGACCAAATTATATATATGCAATGAATCAAAAAGTCAATTGGAGTTATGAACCCATCATTCATCCATTTGAACTTTTGCATTAGTGTCAAATAAATTGCTAGTATATATTCGGTATGTCTAGAACAAAATTAAATATTTGACACATATGCCTCTAATATCAAGACTGTCAAAGCATTAGATACTATGTTACCCACGTAATTCTATCATGAAGCCGTATAGGGATGTCCAATTAGGCTTTAGCTTGGACTCGGTTGGGCCTGAGAAAAGCCCAAAAAATGCGGGCCGACCCGGCTCCGGGCCCGGGTTGTGTTGGTGAGGCCCGACACGATTTTTAAATTTATATATTTTTTATATATGTTGTATATATGTTTTATATATAATCATATAATGATATGGTTATTAGTGTATACTTATATATATTTCTAAGTGTATGTGGTTTTTTGAGAAAAACGGCCATGGCTTTGTAGTCCTAAGTATACTTATATGTGTATATTATAGACTTATAGTCATATAAGTATATATAAGTACATAAGTATAATTTTATATAAGTATATTGCATGTAATATATATAAAAATATATCATAAAATTTAAGTATATAACTATACTTAAATAAGCATAATATAAGTATGTAATAAATACATATATAACTATATAATACATATTTATAAATAAGTAATACATACTTATGTTATTCTCACTCTCTCAAGTTATAACTTACAGGTGTATACAATATATTTACATATAATATATGTCTATATAATATATAGCTATTTACTAATATGTAAGTATAGTTATATACTTTACTTATATGATATACTTTTATATATATTACATGCAATATACTTACATATAATTATACTTATGAACTTATATATATATATATATATATATATATAGAGAGAGAGAGAGAGTGTGTGTGTTACAAAAGCCTGATAAAGAAAATGGAGCTAAATGGATCCAGCAATCCGATGAATTTCCTTAGCAAGCTTAGTCATGGATTCCTGGTTTTTTGCCTCAACATCAGCCAAAGCGTGTCTACGCAGCTCCTCATCGGAATAGACGCTCATGTCGTTTACATCTTTTTTTAGCTGCTCCATTTGATCAATTTCAGCTTGAAGCAAGGGTTGTTGCTGCATTTGTTTTGAAGCCAACGTCTGCTTTATATCCGTCATACCCGCCAAGTCAGCTTCAGCCTCTGCAAATTGGACCTGAAGAGCCTTGATTTGAGCTCGAAGATGGTCAACCTTACGTTGCTTCTGAAGTTCAGCGTTTGCAACCTTTCTACCTTCTCGGGATAAAATCTCTCCGATCTCTTCGAACTCTTTAATACATTGCTTAGTTTCAAGCAATTAATGGTTAAGTTCAAATAAGGAGTCATCCCTTTGTCGCATAGCTTGCATAGCTCGCTCCTCAGCCAAAGAGTAAAGAGATCGAGACCGACGATTTTCCCATTGATTGAAAAGATCTTCAACCTTAGTCAGGTGCAACCAATATGGTAATAAGGCAAGGTCAACTTGGTAGTGATGTGGCCTAATCTTATCCCTACATCACACCTCGAAGATAGAGCCTCAACCACTCTTCACCAACTCCAATGTAGATGTAGGGACAAGATTAGGCCACATCACTACCAAGTTGTTTGGAGCAACTTGGTACCAAGTTTCTCCATTTTTCTCATATATATAATACATACTTACATAATTATAATAAGATTAATATATTTTTTTAGTAGTTTTTTATAAAAAAAAATCAAAAAGAAACAAAAACAAAAAAAAACAGCCCGGCCCGGAGCCCGACCCGGGCACCCTGGGTCTGGGCTAAGCATTTTGCCCCGCTCGGACCTGGAAATCTGAGCCGGGTCGAGTTGGTCCATTTGAACAAGCCCAAAGCCATATCTGTACCAAACACGTACCTATACCGAAACTTCATAGGCACTACTTGCATGCATTTATTTTGACATGTGGTCAATTATATGACATATGTTTTAATTTACAACATTTGTGATATAGTTCTTGGATACATATCATACACTTACATCCATATCTTGAAACTCGTTAGACATAAAATCGGGTTCGTTTTAGCCCATACCCAAGTAAAAAAAACTATGATTCTAAAGGGTCATCTAGGTGTTTAGTTCAAAAGGAGCAGTTTCTAATTTATAATAATTAACATGACAAAAGAAACGTAAAAATGTGATAGGAGTTTTAATTCTAATAACACCTGAATTGAAAAACAATAATGATCTCATGTAATTATTAATTTCAATATATATGTGTAGTCATGTTCCCGTACTATACATTTTACAAATTTTTCGTGTCTTGTGCTTGCACCAGCAGCCGTATGGGTAGTCATACCCGTTTCCATGCAACTTAGATCAGATATGAGTATAGCTCTTATGAGTACGGATGGTGCATATCTCGACATCTTAAACAACTCAAATAAGGATAAATTCATTTCTATATATAAATATACAGTATATACGGATAGTCTCAGATGCATGAAGATGCATGAAGTGCATTCACTTGCTTTAAGATAGCCAAGGATCTTTCTTGACATTACAAATACTATGGAAATTGATTGTTTTGGAAACCATGACTAAACAAAAAATTTCTTTTTTATTCTTTTGTGAAATATAAATCATTGATAAATGTACAAAAAGTGAGGTTTGCAGTTAATCTTCCCACTTAAAAGATGATGGGATGATGGTGGTGATGAAGGTGTTAAGCCCATGGCTCCAAAAGTAGTTTGGCAGCCAAAGAAATGCTTTACACACATGACAAAATTGAAGTTAGAAGTAGTACGGAGTTTCAAGCGTATGAGGGATAAAAAAAGGTTAAATTGACATTTACACAGATTATCATTTATATTTGTTAGAATAAGAAATTTACCTTCACCTTAACTTCAGTGTTTTGGTGCAACTAAAGGGTCACGTTTCATAGTATAAGAGCAATATAGGTTCAATTTTCACCTACCACAAATTTAAAGTGGATTTAAGAAAAAAGATTGTTGGGTGAGTCTAGGTTTCGGCCCATGAAAAGGGTGCTTAATCTGCGGGGCATATTAGCATCAAAGTTATAACCCTCACAGTGGAAGGCTCCTTCAACAATATCCATTAACCTGATCTATCAAGGGAACAGTTGTCTACCATGCACATTCCTCTGTTTTCTTTCAGTCTTTCGATCTATTATTACCTTTGTGAATAAGGTCCCCTTCAAGAACTGCTTTGACAAGTTACTCTTCCGGTAACACCAATAACATCTGCTTCTATTTTCTTTCTTTAGGTATCATTTGTGTATTTAAAAATTTAAATGGCATCTAGATTTAAAGCTTTTCAACCTCGAACTTGAAAATTCGAGCCTTAATTGCCAGAAACTCCTTAGACTTTTGAATAAGTAAATACATAATTTTCAAGCATTAATTTAGCTCATGATACATTGGCACTGAGGGAGTATGTAAAAATGATATACCTTTTCAAATAGTTCATGACCACCCTTTCTGGTGCTCCTAGGTATCTAGTTTCTGACTACCTTCAATATCTTTCAATAATTGCAAATTTTGATGCAATCCTTGACACAAGAAAATTGATTGGGCTCAAAAGTTTCAGTTGATGTATCCCGCAACAGAAGGTTAAAATAACAAAACTGGTTTTCTTGGAATGTGATTTCAGTAAAAAATTTCAAAATAATACGAAAGATGGAAATTGGAGCTCCATTAATCTAACAAGCTGCACATGATAAATATGTGTGCTCCATCTCAAGGGGATTAATCATAGTTTAGTTAGCTTAATCCTTCGCTAATTTATGTAACTGTCTTCTCTTCACTTTATTATAAATAGAGTCTGACGATTCCTCTCTAAGAGTACATCAGTTTCCCAAAATCAACATTTAAATACTGTTTCTAGTCAGTTAAAAAAAGAGAAACAAGATTACCTTATTTTCAGTTCCAGTAAGCAGCTGATGGTCCATGTCATCTTCTGAGTCATCTATCTCCTCTTGTTCAAATTCCACATGTTCAATCTCTTCTTCAGAATCACTCAACTCTTCCTGTTCCATCACTATCCCAGCGATAGAATAATCATGAGGGTCTCCTCCGCCAAGGCATACGCCATTGCTGTTTGGAGGTACAACTTGCAAAGTTAAATCGCGGTTACCTGAAACCTCTGTACATCTACCACTACAGGTAAGAAATGAGTCATCGCCTAACAACTTTGGCGTTTCCTCAATATTCTGACAATCTCTGCCAAATGTCTTTTCCTTTTCTGGGACAGAACACAAGCGAATGTCTAAATCAAGATTACTTTCATTTTCATTATTGGTTAGAGATGCTGTACTGGTTCCCACCTTATTATTACCAGACACAGGTATTCTCAACATGCAATCAGATTGATTGCGGAGCTTATCGAAATCACCTTGTGATACTTCTAAATCGCTAGAGACCCGATGAAGTAATGGTCTGGCAGAAGAATCACCATTTTCACTGTCAGCTCTTTGCAAGAAAGGATGAAAGTCAATAGTATGCAAATCTAAGGGTAACTTTTTAGGCTGTATTGTAGCATTGCTGAATAAACCTGAGCTTGCAGAACATTGAGGTCTAGAGGGACTGGGATCATTCGGAAGCGAACTTCTAAGGAAGGAGCTGTGAGTAGTTGAACCAGTAGCATGAGAATTAATTGAAGGATATGATGAAAGTTGACCTTCAGGGGCCTGGAACAGTAAAGGATGCATTTGAAGATCAGATTCAGAGGTGTTCTCTTCTGCTCCAAATTGACCCATATGAGTAATACCATCTTGCTGTGGATTAGTATCCAGACCATTATCAGAAATTTTATTTAAGTAATCCCCAAGATTTGATATGCTACTCCCTACTCTTGCAGACTGAGAAACTCTTCGAACATGATTTCTTACTGCATTATCACGAACTATGGAAGCAGATGACTCGTAGCGGTAATTCTTGAAAGTTGACTGTGAAATTACACGAACAGTTGGAGGAAGATTGACAGGAGGTAAGTCAGGTGCCAACTTGACTACTCTAGTAGATTTAGTTTTATGTGTTTGGCAAGCTTGTGAGACCAGCTGGCTATTAGAAGCCCTTGGCATTGAATTGTAAAGGAATTGCTTCGAAGACGCACCATGCGATGCATGAGAAAAATGAGACGGAGGACACAAATCTTGAGTGCAAGAGGTATGAAACCCATGCCTACCTCCCTGATGCGGTTCTCTACTTCCATTTGGTATAGAAGTAGAAGTCTCATGGACATAAGTACCATTAAATGCCGTGATGTTAACTGATTGCATATTACTTCTGCTTATGCTTAAAAGAGGGGTATCACAGGATTTGTGCTTGGAGCTTCCTGCCTCCGAGTCTGCCAAGAACGCTTCATGAACATAAGCCTCATCTTCACCATCGACGTCACCTGCACTGTTATCACCACCATTATCAACCTGCAAACCATATACTCAGATATCAAGAAGAATTCAATTTTTTCATAATTATTTTCTTGTGGATTAAACAAGATAGACGAACCTCCTTATCTGATGATGTATGGCAGTCAGTCATTGAAGCTTTCATTTTTCTCCTTTTTGCCTCATATAATCGTCGTTTCTCTTTCATGGCTTCACTTTTTCTGTATGATTTCTGAGTGCCTGTAGCAATACGCCACAGCCGGGGTAACAAGGATGGATCTCTATATGGAACCACAAATTTCCAGACAGACAACCAATCGTTTTTGAAGAGTTTAAGTCCCTGGTTTTACAGAATTAATGTGATTAAGTTGCAGATAATATAAACTTGACTACAACACTAGTTAAGGAGGAAAATATCCAAATTAGAATCACCTCACTGATGCGTGCCCTTTCATCTGTAGTCAATGGAGAGGTCTTCATTCTTCTCACAGCCTGCACGAAGTTGATGCAGCAGAACACCCTTACAACGTACATTATCATAACAAGACTTGAAACCCTACTATGAGGAAAAATATGCTACAGAATAATGGATCACCACATAAGCAAATCCACGAAATCAAGTTATGTATGGTAGGCCTATACTTGTGCATTGTCACAATCAATGATCTGAGATAACTTAATAGGTGTCTATCGGGGTGCAAATGGGTTCGGTCCGTTCGGATTTATCAAAACCAATCCACTTCCATATCCATTTCAGATGCAGATACAAATACTTTCAACTGTTACCTGGGTGCTTCTATTAGGAAGTCGTACCTCTACCCAAGCCTCTAAGACACTTTTTAGATATATGCATATGTTTATTCGGGCATATACTCAATTATATAATACATGTTTTAATTTAAAACACTCCTCATACACTTTTTGGATGTATATTCTACACTTCACATTTATTTGTTATATATTCATCTTATGTAAATGAAGAAACAATGTTGATCTTATGTAAATTATTAATTTTAATATATGTATATGTATATGGATGTATATGGATGTATATGGATGTATATGGATGTATATGTATGTCTGTGTGTGTATGTATGTATATGTATATGTATGCATGTATGTATATGTATGTATATGTATGTATATGTATGTATGCATATGCGTGTGAGAAAAATGCATAGCCTTGGTACCAATTTGGTAGTGAGGTGGCTCATCCTAATCCGCTGACTTGAATAGTTCCCACTTGAGTAGTTCTCTCCTTGAAAATGAGTGGATAATAATGAGTCACCTCACTACCAATGACCAAAATTAGTCCTTGGTACCAAGGTACCCATATTCCTATATATATAGCCATGTCCCCGTACCATACCTTTTATAAATGTGTCGTGTCCTGTTACCGTACCACTACCAGTACCCGTACCCATGCAACCTAGCTTTCAAACTATCAGATACAGATACACATATAGTTGTTATTTCAGATTAGATATTTCCGTGAAGTTCAGATGGGGATAAAGGAACTACAATTCGCATTTTATAGTTGGGTAGATTTCACAAACCCCCCCCCCCCCCCCAAAA